AGCATATCCAAAATGAAACTTATTAATTCATTCTTAAAACCTGATCCTTCTCCTTAATCCCTTATCCTGATCAGTGACACAACCATCTGCCTACATATCCAAGCCAAAACTTCTCAGAATCCCTATTAAATTGATCTCTTAATTTTGTTTATTCTCTTTAGCCAAAATATGTCTAAATAGAGCCTGTTCTTTCTTCATTGTTTTCTTCCATTGCATATATTTTAATTTGTACATTTATTTGTTATACTTTTTATTACAGTATATTGAAATTAGCATTCCTTTAGGCAGAGCCTTTTTCATTTCTCTGTGTAGCATTAGTGTTACAGAGGAATGGGAATGGGAAAAAGGAAAACAAACCTAAGCCTTTTCTTTAAATTAATTAATCCAATTAATAAATTTTATGGAACATATACTATGTCAGGTATAGTTCTAGTTACTGGGGACACATTATTATGGTACCAATTTAGTTAGGAATATCATCTAAATAGTTACACTGATACTTAAAACAGTACTAACTGATAAACAGAATCATTGGTTTCTAGAAAGTTTATAAGAAGGGCTTCTACTGTATCATAGTCTGGGGGTGCAGATCGGTGGGCTTCAGCATACAGACTATACAAAAACAACAACAAAAACAGAATAATATGTCAGCCTTGTGTCAGATGTTAGTATAGAGGTTTGTTTCCCCTCAGCTATCTTTGATTCTGAACCTTCAAGAGAGCATTGTAGACTAAACTTTTAAAAATATGCATCAAATTCATAACCAGACTTTGCTTAACTGTGAAACGTATTTAGAGGCATTGAATATAGGATGAAATTGTACGATTTATTTTTTTACCTTTTTTTAATGCCCTATTTCCTGCTTTCTATAATCTTCAAGTTTCCTCCATCTTTTGTCTGATCTCCTTTGCCACTTCTGACTTTCTTTTTATCTCTGTATTGTAGTGTCAACCTAGTCTTATTCTGACACCTTTCTACTTTCCTTTACCTCTTCAATTACCAGTGGTTTTTTTTTCTTCCTTTACCTTTTTTGGTTTTCATCCAAAAGTAGGAAAAAAGTTAAAAGGATTCATGTTAAAATGATTTATGTATACTACTAATATACATATGCTTTCATACGTACACTCAAACTTTTGAGTTGATATCTGTTTTTAGTCTCTTTGTTATTGTTAATTTTTCTTAAATATATCACATGTAATACCGTAAAAAAAATGAGAACAAAAGCAAACAAGTCAAAATTTTCTGGTTAGCTGATCACTAGTTCTTTATCACTTGAAGTCAATATTATGCTTTTCACATTGAAAACAGTGAATGACTATAGCTTCAGAAAGGAAAAAGATGATATTGACTTATTTAGGAATAAATCAAGAAATGTGACATTTCATGGATGGTTTCTTTTACTTAGAGTGCAAGGTTGTCAATTAGAATTTGCATGATATAGGAAATCAATTGAAACTTGAGCCTATGGACATTTACTTCAGCAAATTCTTACCACTTATCATGACTGTCAAGTTAGACTGTAGTAGGCATAATTTAGAGTTTACAAAAGGTTGAGATTATTTTGTCTAATTGTAAAGCTCGTATTAATGAAATGTAATTTATAGTTGGTCAGCTATATTTTGTGTAACACCATCTATTAATTTTAAGTCTTTACTAAACCAAAAAAGTGTTATATGCTATACATGTACCAGTAAACCCTGGTTCCCCAGAGTTATCTTTTACGGAAAATTGAAGGCTTATATAGCTGTTCCAGATTTTCTCTTTTATGGAAAGGTAGGTAGGTTGTCTAACGTTTGTGTTGTTTTAAGTAATATAGTAAGTGGTATAGTTATTGTAGGCCTGGATTTAATTTTCTGAAAATTACTTTTGTTAATTCTTAATCTTTAACTAGATGTTGAATGAACCAGCTTAGAAAATTATGCCAAGTATACTAAATCAGCACTTACTGTACTAACATCAAAGATCTGGTCTTATTTTACAATAATCTATCAAGGTTGGGCAAACTAAGAACCTATGATACAAATGCATCCCACCTCCTGATTTTGTAAATAAAATTTTATTAAAACAAAACCACACTCATTCACATATATGTTATTTATTGTTGGTTTTACACTACAAAGTTTAGTAGCTATGACAGTAAACAGACAAAACCTACATTATTTATTATCTGGCCCTTTATAGAATGTTCACTGATCCCTACTCCATGCGTTCTAATAGATTAAATTATAATATAATCAATTTTTGATATCTCTGACAGATACTCCTTGATACTTACAAAACACAAATAGAGAAATATAAGTTATGTGTGTCTATGCAAATTTTCAAGTCGCCAATTAACCTTCTTTAATTTTTTTGGTAAAGTTCTATTTTTCTTTTGATGGCCATGTATCAGTACACTTATCAATTAGACAAAATAATAATAAAATAAGATAGAGATCCAAATGCTAAGTGGTTGACTTTTCTCAATCATGCTCAATCAGATCTAGCATGGTAGACTTCATCAAAAATAGTTCCAGTTCAATTATCAGCAGATGATAAGTCATTATATATTATGTACTTTCAGAGTAATTTACACAAATTATTCAAAGTCTGAATGCCAAATTCATATGCCTGGGATCTAGTATAGTTCTCAGAGAAAATTTGACTTTGATTTAGAAAATTATTAGGTGATTTTAATATTAGAATAAATACTAATATTAAAATATTAGTAATTTAATATTAGAATAAATACTAATATTAAAATATTACTCTTTCCTATTGAGGTGTTAATTTTAAACATTTGAACTCTTCATCTGCTTCTCATTAAAGAATATTTTTTCACATTACAATGTCTAAAGATAACTTACAAGTATTATGTAGAAATTCCATAGTTTTTATTATATTGATTATCTGGTAGATACAAATTATGTAACCTGTTTATATTATTACTTTCTTCCTGTAATATAACTTTTTTACACTGAAAATGGAGATTTATTACTTTTGTTACTAATTTTTTTTTGATAACTATTCCTAGGAGTCTACAAATCTGAGGTTTATCACATTAAATTATCAAGTTTAATAGAAGTAATTTTTATGACATTTTTAAACACGTGAATTGGATTTTATTTGGAAACTGCCATAATCAGTTCTTCATCTGATTTCATTTTTAAAAGCATAATATTAAAATGATATTTCCCATGACATTTGACTTTCTTTTTTTTTAATCTAGACTTCCTTCTTTTGTTATTTTTTATTTTTAGTTATAGATGGATACAATACCTTTATTTTGTTTATTTATGTGGTGCTGGGGATCGAACCCAGTGCCTCACACATGCTAGGCAAGCACTCTGCCACTGAGCTACAGCCTCAGCCCCCGACATTTGACTTTCTTAAAAATCATATTTAGCCATCCAATAGCTAATGGTTAAATGCTACTGATAGTCCCCAAATACTTGTACTGTGACCATAAATAAATGTAAAGGTTTTATTATTATATTTTTCTGCTTTTTCAGTTGAGTAAAGAAAAGAAGTACTTATTTTCACAATTCTAATAGAACAAGCTTTTTAAGTAGCATCATTGAAAACTCGATTTATTTTGGAGGAAAAAGTGATAAAAAGACAAGAGTATTTGCTCTTCCTGAAATGTGAATTCAAGCAAGTTTTAGTAGTTTGAAATGCATTGTTATATATAATTCAAAATTACTATGCCTTCCTGTTATACACTATTTGAATATACAGAGATAGCTTTTTATATGTCACTTTTTAATATATTTATATATTTTTCTGTTAAGATGCTGTGTTTTAAAATTACTACCTTGAATCTGAGTGCAGTGATTTCATCCATTTGTGGAGTTTGCAACAACTTTGTGACATATTTATCAAATAATTTTATTTTAATTTTTCCTAATGTAGTATTTATTGAGATCCAAATGTTAAGTGGTTAACTGTGCTCACTTATGCACCACCTATGAGACTTAGCACACTAGACTAACCAAAAGCAGTTCAAATTAATTTACCAGCAATGAAAAATTATATCATGTACTTTTAGGTGCAGTCATTCTAACTATTTAAACTCTGAATTCTAAATTCATGTGCCCAGGATCCTGTGTAGTTAATATTAAATAATAGGAATGCAGTTTTGGAGAGGGGGTTAATCTTGAGGAACTTGATTATCTAAACTTTTTATTGTAATTTTTAAACAATTGAGATTGTTTCTAAAATCTGTATCATTTCACTAATATCCATTACAGGTTTTCCTTTAATTTGCCCAATTTAATAATTACCTAAATTATATTTTAGAAATTTTCTAATGTGTGTCACTTAGAATTTGTTTACTTTCAGACATTCCTTCAGTCCATCAACATTTATGTTGTTCTATAAACATCATGCCTCTTTTGAGACAGTGTATTTATGAGGGGATCCAGTTTATTTTCTTTGTCTTTAAATTGAATGATTCCTTAAAAAAAGAGAAAATAGCAATGTTAAAATGTGGCCCAATTTTGGTCAGCATGTCTATATAGTGTATTTGTCTTAACAAATAGATAGCAGCAAGAGATTTTCAGGTCAAAGTTAGTGTAATTATTTGTCACTGTTTTTGAGGGAACATAGTTAAACTTTGAAATAAAAATACTTGCCTTGTTTTACTTGTGATGGCATCCACAAAAGAGGAAATACAGTTTCTGTTAAGAATTGGAAGTCCAGGAATAAATATAATGATGAGAATGAGTGCTTCTATCACTGGGGAACTTTCTTCATCTAAGCACATATGAACAATTGATCCTTGTAGTCATATATAGCAGTAAACATTAATAACTTAACAGTCTGAAGTCAGTGCAGAAGATATAGAGCATTATTGAAAGATGGAGTCGAGCAGGTGGCACTTTAATATGTTCAGTGTCATGGTTGACTCTAAAGACTAGTCGAATGAAATTACTTGAGGTTCTAAAGATTTAAAAAGCGAACTCATTTTGCTGCACTAAGGAAATGCTACTGATCAGGCTTTCTGTGTCCCTTTTTTCTAGGCTAGAAAATATTAACCCTGAAGAAAATGACATGGTAAGCCATTCTCTGAGGAGATTTCTTGATGTCAGTCTTATATCTTAGAGGCTTAAGTTCAATTGAGTGGGTTTCAAGAACTAAGATGTGGGAAAAAGAAGAATTGACACACTAATAATGTACATCTTTGCTGCAATATGAAAATTCAATAACTTCACTCAGTCAATTTACAATTCACATGTGCCTATTAATTAAAACCCTATATTAAATAAAATATATTAAAACTTCATGTCTGACTAACATATAATGGTGTTGGTAGACATTACAGGAATTACTGAACAGAATAAACAATGCCGACACAGGAATAGCTATTCAGAAGAATGGAGCTGTAATTGTGGATAGAATCTACAAGACCAAGGAATGTAAAAAGAGAATAACTGCCGAAGAAATGAATGCAGTGATACAAGAACGGGATGCTGCTTTGTCTCAGGTAACTATGCATGTATCTGAAAAAGCATATAATTACCATTTCCCCCTCTTTTTTATCCATTAAAGAGTGATTCTTGCCCAAATATTATTAATTATCTTTAGTTTTTAGAGTTTATACTCATAATTAGATATATTAAAATACTTACATAATTTCCTTCTACCACTGTTCAAAATATGCATCCTCATTTCTTTATAAAATTTAATGCATCATCTTTTGTTAGTAAAATAAAACTTGTTTTATAACATGTTAATTTGTTATTAAAATTTTATTTTATTCTAAAAGTAATCTCTTGTATACTGGACTTTTTTTTCAAGTTCCAGTTTTGTGAAGGCTGAGACTCTGCCTTTATTACTGTTTTATTCCCACTTCCTAATTTGGTATCATTAGTAAACATAGTTGAATGGGTCAAATTATTAGCATATTCTTTTCTGAGCACGACTTGCACTTCCTGCTCTAACTCAAACTGTTTCCTCCCTGAGTCTACTAGCTCCACTGCATCTTCTCTAGTAGTGGCTGTATTCTTTCCCATACCAGTTATACTACTGAGCCCATGTTTTTACTGACCCTTGCAATGTGCCAGTCTCTGATTTCCTGAAATTACTCTCCTTCCACTAGTGTACTACTTCAGCCATGTACTCTATGGTCATATCGTATTCTTGGTCATTACTCATCTGAGTTTCAACTATCATGCTTCTGAATTCCACCTACTATCTTTCTAACTCACTTACTCTAGGACTCTGACTACAGATATCTCTCATCCCCAGTGAGTTCATACATGTCTCCAGCTTTGCAAAGTTGCTGAGGTTTGCCTTGAACTTGTGATCCTCCTGCCTCAGCCTCCTGAGTTGGTGGTATTACAGGCATGTACCACCACACCCAGCTCTAATTCATATTTTTTCCAGCCTGCTTAAGACTGTCACAGCCAGTTGTTCCTTTTTTCTCCTACTTCATAAAATGTTTCCTATTACCTTATTTCTAACACAATACAAATGGTTTATTATCACCCTTGGAGACTGGGGCGGAATTTTTGGTAAGTCTTTGTCTCACCCTAGTAGTTTGGATGAATCCTTCCAAACTGACAGCTTAGTATTCATGAGGACCTACTCCTGCCAGATCCTGTCAGTATTGTCTCCTCAGCAATGTAAGACTCTGGAGAAATCTTCTGTTTCCTCCAATTTTGTCATTCAGTCCTATCTAACTGCCAAAGTTTGGATGGTTTCTCTGTCCTCCTAATCAAAGTCTGATTTCTCTGTCCTTTTGCCATACCTAAAATCTGTAAAACTCTGTGGAGAAAAAACAACGAGTGCAGACTTCAAATTACCTTGTTAATTAACCCCTCTTCAGGATCATAGCCATTCCAGTCATTATTACAGCCACATAATTTTGTGCATTTATTCTGATGATTTTTTTGTTTATTCTGGCTTTTCTAGTTCGTGGCTAGAGTGTTGGTCTGCCACAAATGGTTCTGTCCTATACTAGATGTGGTAATGTGACATTTTTCTTCAGATTAGAATCGGAAAAGATTCTTGAATTTGTAAAATGGACTGATTTATTCTTGTGCATTATATTACAGTTATAGAAATATCTAGAATTAGAGGATAAAGCTAAAAACTTTCATTTCTTTAGCTTTATAAACTATTGAACTAATAGATCACTTTAGATCTATTTCAAGATATGGTAAACTAGAAAAAGTTAGTGAAATACTCATGCATCCACATTTTATTGAGTACCTAGTATGAGCCTTGTGCTGGGAACTGAAACAATGGATAAAAATATAAAAGGTTCCTACTCCTTTGAAACTTATATTTGCTATATATAGATAGCAAACAAACAAATAAATAAATTACAGTAGTGGTAGGATGAAAATAAAAAGATAATGAATGAACTGCAGTTGATAGAATTGCTAGGATGATCAGGCTTCTGTTAAGGTGAGTAGCTGACCTAAGACATGAAAAGGGAGGAAGGTCTAGCCCTGCAAAGAGCTGTAGAAAGAATATTCTATCAGAAAAGGAGAGATCAACAATGCTCTGAGATTTGTTAAATTCATCTGCCTTTTGGAAGACTGTTTATATGTTTTCTGTTTGGACAACTACAACATTTTTGTAGCTAAATTATTACATGCATCCATGTTACTTTTCTCAGAGAAAGTTCCCAGGAATGAGCATGATGGAGCAACAAATACAAACATTTTAAAATAAATGTATAATTCCAAATAGAATTTGTAGAAAAGTTGTATTTAAACATGTTATTTTGAATTTCATTCATGGGGACTTTCAGTGAATAAAATGCTAAAGAATTTAGACTTTAGGCAGTATGTAACTCAAGGAATTTTAATTTTCTACTAATACAGAAAGTGCTATTTTTGACAAAGATTTCAGCACTGCCTAAAGTGGATTGAGTAATATACTTCTAACTTTAAGGAGAACAACTTGGAACCTATTTATAATTCAGGCAAAGAATGGTGAAGGTCCAGAGAAGAAAAAAGAGAAATGAATGCTATCGAAATAAAAGTTTTTTTATTTTGTATTTTTTAAATGGAGGTAGTATAACTTACTATAAAATAAACAAATATAAAGTGAAGGATTTGATGATTTTTTACATATGTCTGTAATCACATAAGGAGCACCAGATCAAAATGTATTTCTAGTACTCCAGAAGCCTCCACCATTTCTTTTCCAGGCAGAATCCCTCAACAAAAGTACTCAATCTTACTTTTATCACCATAGATCATTTTGTATATTTTTAAACTTTATATAAAAAATTATGTTATATATTGTATCTGTATGTTGATTTGCGTTGTTACAGTTTTCAGTAATTTATCTTTCTCATTGTTTTGTTCTGTGTGAGTATACCATGATTTATGTACATATTCAGTGGATCTTACAAATATAGATTATTTCCATTTTGAACAGATTATGTATGAAATTCTCATCATGTTCTTGTGCATGTCTTTTGGTGGGCATAATAAGCATTCATTTCTTCATATCTATATACCTGTAGTTATAAAGACTATGTATATATACATACATACACATACATATTCAAAAAGATTAGTTAAGGATAATAGATTTAGGGTATGCCAACCATTTTCCCATTGCAATGTAAGGGAGTTTCTCCAGTTGTGAGCATTAATACCTGGTATCATTTATCATTCTTTATTTTAATTTCCGTCATTCTTCATATTTCATTTGGGCTTTAAATGATGTTGAGAATCTTTTCAAATTTTTATATGCAACTTTAAAATAAATTCATTTTTGGGAAGTAGCTGTTTAAAGTTTTTGCCATTATTAAATTTGGTTGTTTGTCTTTTTCTTACTGGCTCCTGCAGTTTTGATAAACATATCTGTACAATTGTTGACTTGCATTTTTATTATTTTAATGCTATCTTTTGATAGCAAAAGGTCTTAACTTTAATTAGATCTCATTTATCATTTTTACCCCTACAGTTAATGCATTAAGTTTCTGTATATTTAAAGTATTTCATTTTCTTCCTGTAGATGGCCAGTTGACTTGACCTAGCACCATGTATGCTAAAAATTGTATCCCCTCCTACCTTCCCCAGTGAATTATAGTGCAGCCCTTGTAATAAATAGCTCAGGTGACTGTATATATGTTAATCTGTTTCTGAACATTTTTCTATTCCATTAGTGACCTTTGTTATTCCTACAATGCTGTAAGTATTTGTGATAGCAATACAGTAAGTCTTAATTTGTAATAATGTAAGGATCTAGCTTTGTTATTGTTCTTAAGTACTATCTTTAGCTATAATAAGTTATTATTTAGCATTAAAATATCTAGTAATGTTTAATGGAAATTGAACTCTATAAAGATCAGTTAAAGAAGGTTGGGATCTTAGTAACAAGTCCCAAATGATTATTTGTTTTATGGAAACTACTAATTTTTCTTTACATACTGCTTTAGTTGTGTCCCACACATTTTTGATGTCTCTTAGCTCATTATTATTATAACTAATTTTTTAAAAATTTTTTGAGATATATCTGGGGTTTCATTCTTTATTGTGGGAGCAGGGGTCCTACCAGGGATTGAACTCAGGGGCACTTGACCACTGAACCACATCCACAGCCTTGTTTTTACAGCCAGGGTCTCACTGAGGTGCTTAGCGCCTCACTTTTGCTGAGGCTGTCTTTGAATTTTCAGTCCTCTTCCTTCAGCCTCCCAAGCTGTTGAGATTACAGGTGAGGGCCACTGTACTTGGCAGATCTAGAGTTTCTGCTGTTCTGCCTTTGTACTAATCCTTATAAGTCATCCAGTGAGATGAGAATCAGGCTTTTCAGTATATCACTTCTAAAGGTCTACCTATAGTATTGCTGTGTCAAAATGCTTAAGATATCAAAAACTGAAATTTTTTCCCTAAGAATTAGTGTTCACCAACATTACAAACATCACAGTGTAGCACAGTGATAGAGTGCTTACCTAGCATGTACAAGGTTCTGGATTTGATCCCCAGACTGTTAAACAAAACAAGTGTCTATTTGTTATGTATTACACACACACACACACACACACACACACACATACACACACAACGTTGAGTAAATTATATCAATTTTTTCAATGTTGTTTCATTTAACATAATAGTAGATCTGTTCTGCCTTTCTAGAAGAGGCAGTGTTCTTCCAGTATAGGGTTGATAACAAGTTGGGAAATAGTGCAAAAAATGAGAATTTGAGCCATGAAGAAATTACAAAGTATTGGAGAATTTATCTTATAAAGTTTTTTAGCCTGAAAACATCTTTATTCTAAAGAAGGGATTTTGTAAAAGGAACTAAATTTTTTTTTACTAATCTACTTGATAGTTTAATAAACTATTGTCTCACAAAAATTCAAATTGCAATGGATTCATTTTTTTAGTATCTTTCTCATAAGAAAAAAAATCAGTTACCATTTTAATGGCTTATGTTTGCCCTAAATTTTATCTTCAAAAACACAAGTATAGGGCTGGGTTTGTGGCTCAGGGCTAGAGTGCTTGCCTCACATGC